CTTCCTTCCTTCCTTCCTTCCTTCCTTCCTTCCTTCCTTCCTTCCTTCCTTCCTTCCTTCCATCCAACTTTCTAAAGCAGCAGTTCCCTTCCTATGGGTTGTGACCAATTTGGCAAACCTCTATCTCTAAAAATGTTTACAGTATGATTCATTAACAGTAGCAAAATGACAATTATGAAGAAGCAACAATAATAATTTTATGGTTAGGGGTCACCACAACATGAGGAAGTGTATTAGGGTCACTGCATTAGATGGGTTGAGAACCACTGTCCTAAAGCCTTTGAAACTGTGAGTCGAATAATCTTTTCTTCAGATTTTATTACTCAGGTATCAGACAGCGACAAAAAAGTCTGACTAACACATCATCCAAGTCAATCAGAAAAAAAGTGACTAAGAAGTCACTAACATGTCACTAGCATCTGCCCAAGGAGAGATACAGGTCCATTAGTTATTATTCTAAGGCTTCCCTCATTCAACAGGCTGAATCCAAACACCACGCTCTCACCACAGTACTAGTTGGTCTAAGTTTCAGATGGTATATGCACCAATTCTCCCTAACTACCTTACAGGTAACAGGAAAATCTTCTGACTTTGAATCAGGGTCTCACTATTTAGCCCAGGCTAGCCTTAAACTCAGGATGCAGTTCTGATTCATCTCAAAACTCACAAACCTTCTTGGCATCCCAAGTGATGCAATTACTGGCATTTGCCATCAAACTTAGCTGAAAAAGGAGAATTAAAAAAGAAAAAAAAATATATATATATATACACATATGTATCTGTGTGTGTGTATATATATGAAGTGCTTGCTGCCCAAGCATAAAAACTGGAATTCAAACCCTAGAACTCATGTACAAAGTTAAGCACAGTGGTGTGCATTTGAAATACCAGCTCTGGGAAGGGACACAAGAGGATCCCTGGGACCTGCTGGCCAGCTAATCTAGCCTAATCAGGTACCATACGAAAGGCCTTGTCTCCTAGGATGGACTAAAGAGATGGCTCAGTGGCTAAGAGCACATGCTGCTCTTACAGAGGACCCAAGGTAGGCAGGCTCCCAGGACCCACACACAGTGGCTCACAATTGTCTGTAACTTCAGTTCCAGAGAATCAAACACCCATTTCTGGCCTCCATGGGTACAAGACACACATGTGGTACACATTCACGTATGCCGGCAAAATATTCATACACATAACATAGAAATGTTTCCTTTTTAAAAAGGATTATGGCTAGCCATCCGGAGAAACAAATCTGATGTTAGCTTCTAGCGTCTTCTGACCTTGGCATGAGTACCATGGCATAGCACGCATGCCACCCCTTCACACACAATAAAAACATTAATGTGATTTTAAAATTAAAAATAGAAATGTCTTTGAACTTACCCAAGTGTATTTGAATGATATAAACTGCATAATTCACATGGGAGAGTGAGGTTGAAATGTTTTTAAATGCTAATGTATGTGAATACAAAGTATACTACACAAATTAACATTCAGCACTTGGAACTAAAATACAAACAAAGATAATTCATGAATATGATAATGACTGTTCCCTGGCACAGCATCTGAACACACTTTATGCTTTTAAGAAAATCTTAAGTAAATTTCCAAAGCTCATCTTCAAGTTTAAAAACTTCCACCCAGCAAGTCGTTAGACACAATCTGGGATTTGTGACAAATTGCCAAAGCTAGATTATAGTTGATTTTTTTTTTTTTTTATTCACAAGTTTTTAGAAAAGTTTGGCCCAGTACAAACAAGTTTGTATGAGGCATGTATAACTTCAAGAAAATAACTACAAACATTTTATTTAGAAAAATATATTTTCATATGCTACTTAATAATAATATACACTGAAGTCAAGACTTCTTTTTCATACCTTCTTAGATTAGCACACACTGAATCCACATTCTAAGTCACAGTATTATAAAACACTCTAAACTGCTTGTCTTAACTAAACTCCCATATTTCTCTTATGCACTCAATCTATAATATATAGGTTTTGTTTGTTTGCTTTTTTAAAGCAAGCTTGATATGGTCATACCAATAATCCCAACACTGAGGAGTTCGGAGTCTGAAGCTAGCCTGGACTTCACAGGAAGATCCTGTCACAAAACAAAGCAAATTCCAAGTTCTGTTTTAGTGTTAAAAAAAATTAAAAGCATAATGATTTTTCCCTCCCTTCCATCATGTATGGAAGTCACAGTGTCCTTTACTCCATGAAGCTGTCTGAAAGACAAGCACTCCTCAGCAATGAACTCCCTCTATCTTGTGCTATGCCCTACTCACTGTTCACTCACGTCCCCTTATCTGGGGTTTATTTTCCACACTTCCAGTTATCTTCAGTCAATGGTGATCAGGGCTTGAGGATCTCTTCATAGGATTACCAGAAGCTCAGCAGTTGCCTCCGTATCACCATGACGTCACCTACATCACCAACTCCATTTCCTTATGCAGAAATTGTACCTCGTATTATCACAGTGGAAAGAGTACCATGTGAATAAGGGAGGCCATCGTTACAACTGTTCTTTTTTTATAATCAGTTATCAACAGCCTCCCTCCTTTGCTCCTCCTCTCGCTGTGTTTTATGTTTATCCGAGACATGATTTCCCTTGTTATTACAAGCTGGCTCAGAACAAGATTCTCCTAACTAAACCTACTGAGTACTGGAATTGCAGATGTAGGTCACCAAGCCTAGTCTGTGTGGTCAATTTCTTACTTAGCTGAATTAATAAACTAAATTGTACCATAGTTAAATAGGTATCTGGGCTGTGGGGTAGTGTGTACAGGGCTCAGCCCTAGCCAGTATTTCAGGTGTCCACTGGAGGTCACTGAATGTACTCCCCACAGATAAGGGGACTAGCATGACTCTTTTCTTACATTTTAGGTTTTTAAGTTTGGAGAATTAAAGAATGTTAAAGCAGGGCTTCCAAGATGGTGCGTGTGCACACATAAACACAGACACAAATAACATTATTTTTTTTTAAGAAAAGATTGTTAGAGTAAATCTTGTCCCTTAAAGCTGCTTACCTGAATGTATTTCCGTTGGGTTTCATCATTTAAAACATGTGCAACATGCTTCGAAAAAATCTTTTCTCTGCCAGTTCTGGCATGGATACCAACCATGGTGACACCAATGGGCCAGGGAGCATTTCCAATAGCCATCTGAAGGTAAGCATCATTTGCCTGAAAGGAAAGGTTAAGAAATCAGAAAGGCAAGAGATGCAGTGGTTCAAGTGTTTACTTCATAGCCCTTTGTAACATACTTTTTATCTACTTCTGGATGAAAATATTGTGTTCCATTGCTCAAATCAAGAATTAACATATGGAATAACTCACAGCCCTGCCCAGAAACACAAATGCCTGTGAAAACAGAAGCCAATGCTATGCATGTAAGAAAGACAAATAACCCTTTCTAGCCTTTGTGCACCAGAAAGAATTGCACTTCAGCCTGGAATAGCAGGTATGATAACAGAAATCCAGTCTTTGCTACAAGCAGCTGGAAGCAGAGAGAAACTAGCTAACCTTTCAGCACAGAGCCTACAACAATATCCACTCCCCACATAGCAGTATGGGGTTCTGGGTGCAGTGTGGGAGCAGGGATGGTGCTGTATGTGCTGAGATAAACACACAGAGTCCACAACAGATGGAGAAACAGACTGGACACTGGCTGACAGGTCAAAAAGCTGAAGCATGTGACGCATGAGAACTTTTCACTTTGACCCCCACGTCTCCCACCTACCAAGAACCTTAAAGTAAAAGCTACGAAAAGTCAAAGACAGAAACCAGTAAATACCAACAGCTTGATTTATGGTCAAGTCTGGCAAGCTGTGAGAAGGAAGGAAAAACAGAACAAAAAGAAAGCAACTTCTAAAAGACTCCCGAGGACTTCAAACAGGCTGCACAGAGATCTCTTAACTGCTGAGCCATCTCCCCAGCCCTGTGCACAGAGATCTCTATTTCAAAAAGCTAACTGTATGATCTGTACGGTGGGGAAAGACACAGCCCTACGAGTAACTGGAGATTACTGCCCACCAAGCGATAAGCATCAACCTACTCTGCAACGCATTTTACAGAGTTTAATTTTAAAGGGAATTCTGTGTGTTTTTAATTACTGGCTCTCATTTAACTTCAACACAAGCCTTCAACTAATAAAATTTCCAATTTTCCACTTCTCTAAAATCCCAAAGAGAATTTCCCAGCACATTATTAAAATTTACTGGTTCTTTGTCATTTATACAAAGCAAGCTCTCACCTGGTTTTGATATATATCATGAGAAAAAAAAAAATGGAAAAGGTATCCATTGGCACAGGCAGGGACTAGAACATTCTCTGCCATGATGCAGACCTTGGCCATGTGTTACCATGCAGTAATCTTTATTAACTATCATATAACTGGGAGGGGGAGAACAGGATCAAAACATCTATGAAACTCTCAAGGAACTAAAATAAATTAAAAAGAAAGACTCATGCAACTAACAGGAACTACGAATGAAATAAAAATATTTTCATTGAAACAACCGGCTTTAATAAAAATAAAATCACCTCAGACCCTCAATGCTCTGATCAAGCAGGCAGCAGCCACCCGAGAATTCCAGCAGTCCCTCCCTCCCTTCTCTAGCACTGCCACTGGGCTTCAAAGAAACCTTCACTCTAGGCTTCTTGGGAGCCTCAGCCGTGAGCAGCTCCTCCTCATTGTTGTACCTTCAGGATCCAGAACCCTTCTCTCCTTTCTACCAACTAATTTTCCTCCAATGACCCTCCCCCCCTTCCAACGCTCTCCATTAAGCCTGTGTCCTTGGGTGCTCTCCCCAACAGCTCTCCCAGAGCCCATTCAAGAGTAAAGACACTGGGATGAATAAGAACAGTCCTCCAGAGGTCCTGAGTTCAATTCCCAGTAACCATATGGTGGCTACAATGAGATCTAGTGCCCACTCCTGGTATGCTGTGAAAACAGAGCATTCACATACATACAAAAAAAAAAAAAAAAAAAACAGTCCTCCCCAGAAAGCGGCCCATTTCTATGGTACTACAAAGACAGAGGTGAGTCCTGGCAGCCTTCTATGCACCATTTTCCCACAGAAACAACTACAAAGCGCAGGTAAATTCCACTGAATCAGCAGTACAATAGTTCAGCTCTATTGTGCATTAAAAGGGCTTCTGGAGGGGTCTGAAAAACCCTGGCTATAAGGGAGGGGTCATTCCGTGCCAAAATCAACTACTTTTACACTCTGAAATTCCACCCCATCCATAAAATGAAAATGCCTACATATAGCACATGCTTTGAGAACCTTTTAACCCACTTTAAAAATGATTATGAAAGCTATGTAGTGGTGCATGCAATCCCAGCACTCAGAGACACAGAGGCAGGTGGATCTCTGTGATTTCGAGGCCAGCCTGGTCTACAAAGTGAGTCCAGGACTGACAGGGCTACCCAGAGAAACCCTGTCTCAAAAAACTTAAAAAAAAAAAAAAAGACTAGGAAAACACACTTGAGATCTAAAATGCTAAAAGAACAGAAAGACTTTTTTCCTACTACCTGCTTCACATTCATTCTTAAATGTACTATATAAAATCCTTCTCGTTCCAATAACCATTATATTGTGAACATAACCTACATAATGGTCACAATAACTGTAACACATAGTATAATAAATTACCTTCACATATTCTCTCTGTAACATGAACTTAATAATATCTGTTATTGATTCTTTAATATCAGCAGGAAGGTTCTGAAAAAGAAAAAACATAACTAGTTTTGCAAGCTACTATATGTAGGAAAACGACTTACTCTAAATCTATACATTCTGATTGAAAACCACAAAACAGCATAAGTTAATAAAGTATTTTCCAGAACCCTCACCCGTTTCCGTAGCTTTCTGAAAAGCGGCCTGAGGTAGGATTCCGTCTGCTTCTGCGTAGCACTGTTCAGTTTGCCTTGCACACTGCGTTTCACATAATCCTCTCTGGCATTCAATTCTTTAGCCCAAACACCAAGAAGAAACTGTTGGGAATAAAAGGTAAGGCTGCAATGCCACCCAGTGGTTGGGGTTGAAAAGCACCCCAATACAGCAATGGTATACAATCATCCTTAAAACCTTGTCCGTGGTGATTAAACTGTCATAAGGAAGACTTAATTAACAATCAAGTTTTGTTTGTTTTATCATGTACTTCAAAGTCAAAAAACACTCCTACTTTATGTACTACTACACTGTGAAGACAGTTCATTTCCTCAAAAAAGAGCTTTCGAATTCCTTAATGAGTGGATTGAAATAAACTTTCATTGTATTTTTACTTGTACGTATTAAACATAACTTAACTAATCTAGGTTTATCATATATGCACTATCCTATATGTGCTGTGCTATTCAGACAGTGTTTGAAGTGTGTTGTATACTATTTGGACTTTCGACTTTCTACTTAAACAGAACAGAGAAATCAATTAAAAAATCCCACCAACACACCTATCTAGTGGTGAAGGAAGAAAGAAAAGGAACAATAATAAAACTGTGACCCATACTTCTCACCCTGGGAAACTACAGAGTCTTCCAGAGGCAGGTGACATGGAGGAAAGGACACACTCCTTCCTGCAGCAGCATGAGGACAGACGTTAGAGAGGCCACCCTGTGTTGCTGCTCCACTGTCTGGTGCTATACTGTAGCCTAGAGAGTGTTTAGAACTTTGACAACTAAAATGTTATATTCAAAATGTAAATACTGTAAAATTCTAAATAACAAATTAAGTAAAACAAAATGTACATACAAATAAAGTATTCCTTGCACTAAATCTCCCAATCTGGATACAAATATTTAAATGCATTTGGGAACTGACCACAATCTCCCTATATGACTAAAGAGAAATGCTGACAGCAAATACAGAATTAATAAATCAGCAAAAAGCAAGCATGCATACAAAGAACTTAAGAAATGGACCTTGCTAAAAGGTTAGATTTGTGCTCTATTTGCACCTGGCAGTGTCCTTTCCAAACTACCTTCCTTCCTCCTCTCAGTGCCCTCCCAGAACAGACCCTGGATGGCCTCAATGGCACTTCTCTCTAGGTTATGGACAGAGAACAGGAAACTTCTTCAAACATTGTGTTCCCTCTTCTGCTGTATCATTTTCTTTGGCTTTTAGGAAAAGTCCCACAAAGAAAGCAGACATAACAATTTCACTCACTTATTAACCACTGCGTATACACTGAGAAGGCTCCAATGGCACAGCTGATAAGGCCCAGGTACTTACATAATAAGTACCCTATCCAAAATATTCCAAAAATCTAAGATGCCTTCTTACATGTCCACAATGCTCTCCTCTCCTTCCCTTCCCTATGGCACACACCTTCAGGAACTTGGTGATGATGTCCATGTCCTTATGATCGTCACCTTTCCCTAAGGACTCCCCCAGTGCCTGAAGAGAGAGAACAATATTCTGTTCACTAACACAAAACAATTAAAAAAATTGTTCGAGAGTGTTTGAGTGGCCAACAATAGATTTAAAAAGGCTTCATCACATATACTGAACAATTTTTATTTTAAAATTTGTTAACATCTCTAGACAAGTCAGAAAAAAAACTGCATATTTATATTTAGAGAATGTGCTACCTTTCATGAATCCAAAGACAAGAGAGCCAGCAAATGGCAGTGGCTCAGAGGGTAGAGGCAAGGGCGGCCTGATGATGCAAGCCTGACAAGCTGAGTTTTAGTCTCAGAACCCAACAGTAGACCAGTGACTGTTAACAACAGACCTGGGCATTTCTCCTAGGTGGATAAAACAGCCTCAAATCCGATTTCGCTGGTGGTGACAACACCCTGTGTATATTTGTTAAGTCACTCACTTGTACACTTTATTTGGGTAAGTTGTATAGCATGCAAATATCTTAGGATTATTTAAAAAAATAGGGAAGAAAGGGAGGAAAAGAAGAAGGGAGAGAGAAGGAAAGGGGGAGAAAAGGAGGGAACAAGTCTGACTGACAAGTGATTGCTCACTCCAGTTATTTAATAAAAGTTACAAACCACCTTAAATGAGTGATGGGAGGGGAGGACAGTAAAATAACATCCAGAACCACCATCTCATTCTAGAGATCCCTACATGTTCAGAAGCCAGAAACTAAAGAAAACAGAAATAACAGCTTATGTTGTATTAAACATTAAAAGCAAGCAAGCATAACTAACCTTTAAACTGTATTTGTGACCTGCTAGATACTTACATTATACAATATTGTTTTTTCATGAAGATTACACAGTGACAGAATCAGGAAGCTACATACTGTCAAGTGTTGGCAGAGACATAAGGACACAAGCCCCTCATGTGCTGGGGTTATACACTGGGACAGCCATGCCAGAGACCAGCTTGGCAGTTCTCAGACAAATTAAATATGTATACCTAAGTCCCACAATTCTGTTTCAGTTCATGTCTGTGGCTAAGGAGGAGCTGACAGCAACCAAGCTGCCCAATGTCGGAAGGAACCAAAAGCAAAATACATAAATGCCATAATATACAGTCAATCCAAAGCAAGAAAATCAAGTGTGGATCTTAAAAAACAGTATGAAATGGGGGAAAAGCAATAAAATAAATATTACCACAACACAGTAGCAACTTTACACGCACATAAGAACTGCAAGCTTTATAAGAGCACCATCAGCAAATAAAAGGATGCTCATCAAGCACTGCAAAGATTACTTTTGAAGGTAAGAAATACAGAAATATGAATGAATGAGAAAGAGGAAACAAAGACATAAAAAGTGCCTTCTACGTCAAGGAAGGAGTGTTCTGTGGAGGAGCACTGCTCAACTTAGTGACCTGTTCCTTAGGAAAAAGGGGAACAGGCAGGGCTGGGGTAGAGACTACCTCTAATTCCTCAATGGTGGTATTTTCCTCGTGAACTTTCAGGTCATTCTGTGTGTCCTCCTCTCCAGATTCCTGACCACCCACAATTTCATTCAAGTACTGCTGGTCAATCTTGTCTAAAGCTGCTTTCAGATCATTCCTTAAGCCCTAAGGTGAGAAAAGAAAAATACCAGTCAGGAAACTGCACTGTGTGTCACCTGTTAGCTTTCATTCCTATCAAGTATGTCCCGGATGAGATACTGCTCAGTTGGCAGTGCTTGCCCAGCATGCACAAAGCTCCCCAGTACCCTGTAAATTGGTCATGGCAGTACACTTCTGCAGTCTCAGCCCTTGGGAGGTAGAGGCAGGAAGACCAGATGGTTCAGTTCAAGGCCAGCCTGGGCTACATGAACCCCTCCCAAGCCCAGCCCAAAAAGTACATTTCGTGTTAAGGTCTTACCTGAACTAGGGACTGAAACAATCAAGTCATTATACTAATACTAGCATCACTCAAAAGTTAAAACATATTTAAAAGAATGTATGCATACTATCCAATCTAATGCTAAGAAAAAGAAAACAGACATGAGTTACAAATCTAAAAATCACTAGTGTCATACTGTTCTACTAACTAAGCTTAGTGAAAGTGACCAGTCTCATTAGAAGTCCCAAATCCATTTTCCTAGGTCCCATACATGTCTAACCTCATTTCAGTTGCTCTGAACTCCTGGATGTCAATGGAAGAAACCTGATGTCTCTTTAAGCCAAGCTCTAAAACTTTGTTTCTACTAAAGTTGAAGGTCCACATTCAGTGTATTTCCTGGCTTGGGTATGAAATGAAAAAGAAAAAGGGGCAGGCTCCTTGAGTGCCAGCTCCAGTGGGTGGAGAGCCATGGAGCAGTGGCTAGAGATGCCTTGCAGTAGTGTTTGAGAGCAAAGGTGATCTGGGTCATACCCATGCTACACGTGAGTTCCTCGGCAACTCACCTTTAAGCCTTGGCTGCCTCATCTGTAAAATAGGAATAATTCCACCCACTATGTAGAGTTGTTATAAGAAGTGATTGTTGGTTATTTTATTTAACATTTACTATGTGCTAGGACTGTTTCCAAACTCTAACAAAATATGAAGTTCCTTCTATGAGCTAATAAATGCACTGTGTCTTTCAACAGTTACAGCAGCGCAGTAAGCACCTGACAGACATCAAACTTAATGTTGTCCTAGAGGCATCCACGCACTTCCTAACATCCTCTCATAGCACAGAAGAGAGATCTTCAACGCAAACACTTGCTCTCTATAACGTATAGGACTGGGTTCTCAAAGGTTACCACATTTACACCCTAGTGAGCAGGGATCCCACAATCTATTTCACAAGCAAGGACCGGAGCAGATTAAAAGAATGCCATTGGTCACACAACAAATCATTCCAACTCAGGAACAGAAGCCAGACCCTTGAGTCCTATGCTCTTTCCTCAAAAACTCCCACGTAAAATCTACAACTGTTACTTGTAGAAGAAAACACGAAACATCTCCTCTAGCCCTTGGCATATGCAAAGAATCCTCTTATAAAGTATGCACTCCCTCCTATCATTGGCAATGCTGCCTGTAGATGTTTCCCTAGGAAACATGCTTGCTTAGGAGAGTGGGGAGACTACACGTCACCTCCCTGAATATTGCAAATGAATGTTCATGATCATATTATTCACAGTAGCCCAAAACAAGAAACAAACTGTGGTATGCTCATATAACTACACATAACTGAGCAATGACAAGGAAACTATCCACAACAGCATGGATGGTACTTTAAAAGACATCATGCTGAACAGAAGGAACTAGATACATACTCATCTATCCATATGAAATATAAAAGTGCTAAATACCAAAACAGCAAGTTAAACATAACTCACAGTGTCTTGAATCAGAAAGGTTTGGGAGCAGAGAAGTGACACGGGCACTGGGTGATAAAAATATTCTTTATCCTTTATCCTTATACAAGTGCTGCTAATATGCTCATGTGTATTTGTCAAAATAGATGACTGTTATGCTCAAGATACATACTTTCTTTAAAATACAGAAGGCTTATTACTTCAGCAGCACTGAGCTGACACTGTTTCCCATTTCGCTACAGTAACACAGTCAGTCAATCCCTCTACTCCAGCTTAGGTGGTACTGTCCTGGGATTTTAGCTCTGCTCTGACTTCTTACCTTGTTGACCTCTGGTGTAAGAATCTCTATTTTTCTTAAACGCTGGAAAGTATCATAGTCGGTCTCTCCAAACAGTCTAATTGGCTCTCCTCTTTCTCTCAGCCTTCTGATGACCTATGAAGAGACACAAACTCTGGGAGACCTCAAAGAGGAAAAAGAACCTAAGCATCTCAATTTGCATATTAAACTTAAACTGAACCCTAGGTTTAATGAATATAATTTAATTACCCAAATAAATATTTCTGAGTGAAATATAAAACCCTTCAAACTGTTAAAAAGTGTACTTGGGTGGGTGAACCATGAAGTGCGTGCAGAGGTCACAGAACAACTTAGAGAAGTGAGTTTTGTCCGTCTACCACATGGGTCCCAGGACTCCAACTCAGGCCATGAGGCTCCGTAGCAAGCACATTCTCCAAGTCACTGTGGCAGCCCCAGGATCCTTCAAGTCAATTTTAATCATCTATCTCAGCTGTAATAGATGTTTATGAATGAAAGGAAAAGTACTTTATACAAAACACTATTTTTACTCAAATATCTCACTTTTTCTGAATAATTCCTATCAAATAGTTTGACATATGAATCTGTAATGCAAACCTAAAGCAGGCCCTTAATATAAACCATCTAATTTTAGACACACAGACATAGGCACACACACGTTTATCAGAATATAACATAAGGGACATTTTGGCCCTGAACTCTTATAATTAGGACTGCTTGGTCCTTTTTTCAAAAGTCTACATTAATGCATACTTTAGTGAGCAAACATCATTTTTAAATATAGATAAAAAAAAAAAAAAGCAAAAACTGTATTATTCCAGGATTTCATGTTATAGACATGCTATGTTACGATGACACTTTACACTTTAAGCAACTAACAGTTTAGGTCCTCTGGAGACCTGCTTCAGGCAGGGCAATTTGTGCAGCAGATCACATAGGAAAAGACTATGATGGAAGAAAGGAGAGAGGACCAAAGAAGAGAGGAGTGGGCACTGCAATACCACAGTCAAACCCAAATCCCGACCTCAGAGGCCGCAGGCAAGGCTTTTAGAGTGTGGGAACTAGTTCAGTTCTTGACGTAGCTTGACAGCTACATGGTTTTTGTTTTATAATTAGTCGTTATACTGCATTACATATTTTCTGCATTTTGAGTACATATTTAATTTAAAAAAGAGAAACAAAATACATAATCAAGAAAATAAAGGTTTAACCAACTTAAAAACAAACAAACAAACATACATACATATGACAAAGAACTTACAAAGGTCTTACTGATTTTACATGGGAACTTCAGGAGTCAATCAGCACTTCCTTGAGAGCTTACATCCTGATCATATAAATTACAGAACCGGAATATAACCTTCCTACATACTCATCTTTCAGAAGAAAGAACCAAGGTACCAAAACAAAGTACCAAAAACAAAGACAAAAAAACAAAAGAACCAATCTTCTGATTGCAATGTCTTTACATTTAGTCCTATCCACAATTAGAAATATTAAAAAATACAGACACATTTATGAGGCATCACGGGAATCAAAGACCATGAAGTCAATCAAAAATTAAAACGGTGGTTCACAGCATCCAGTGCCTTCTTCTGACCTCCACAGGCACCAGGCACACAAATAAGCACATGTCCATACATGTAGGCAAAACATGCGCGCGCGCACGCGCAGGTGCGCACATATACACAAATAATCGTTGAAAAATAAAAAGTATATATGCATTTATGTGTGTGTGTGTGTATGTATACATACAAACATATTCACAGTGTATTTGCCCTACAAACCATGCTTCTAGAAACTTCTCCAAGGTCACAGTCATAATTATGCATGCAATAATGTCTCCTAAGAGGTCATATTACCATTCATATGGTGACCCAATCTAAAGACGATGAAAAGGAACAGTTTAAAAGCATGGTAGCAAAAGCCCAGCACCTGGGAAGAGGAGGCGGAAAGATAAGGACTATGAGGCAGACTATGATATACAGCAAATTTCAGGCCAGCCTGGGCTATTCAAAACTCTGCCTCAATAAAACAAAAAGAAAAAGCGAGGAAAAAAAATATGGTGCAAAGGTGCAAATACATGATAAGAAGCTATACCGACACTATAAACTATGTAGCACTAAAAAAAAAAAAAAAAAAAAAGAAGGAAAATTACATAGATCTGTTTAAAAAAAAACAAAAAAGACCAGAAAATAAGGAGAGTTGTAAATAGCAAAACAGTATCATTATTATTTAAAATAATTGAGATAATTTAAGTATAATTACTTAGAATGTGTGAACTTATACCTATTTCACATGTATGAGTTTATTGTGTAACATTGATAATATGCTCTTCAGAAAAGAAAGAAACCTGGTGACCTGGGTTTGATGCCCAGGACCCAAGGAAAGGCTGAAGGTAAAAACCAAATGCATAAGATTGTCATCTGACCTCCACACCCACACACATCATGCTCACACAATAACAATACAGTATGGAGGAGATTGTTTTATATGTGTGCTTTCCCTACATGTAGGTCTGTGTAGCACATGTGTGTCTGATTCCCATAGATACCAGAAGATGGCACTGGATTCCCTAAAACTGGAGTTACAGACAGCTGAGAGCCGCCACCGTGTATGCTAGAAATCAACACTGGACCTCTGGAAGAGCAGCCAGTACTCTTAACCTCTGAGCCATCTCTCCAGCTCCTACTTTGCTTTGAAATAAGAATACCATCAAAGGAAGCAGAGTGAGAAGTTCATAGAAAAACTGTCTGTCTACAAGATATTTTTAAGTCAAATCATCTTATTTTGGAAAAAACATGATTTATGCAAGTATAGTGCACTTATCTTTCTGGCTACAAAATACTTACCTCTTGTCTAGAAAGAGTCATGGGTAGTTTTTCCTCTGCTAGTTCAAGTTCCAACACCGGATTTGATGATGTTAGTGGTTTCTGGTCATCCTCTTTTGGCTGTATCTATATTGACAGTCCAAACAAATGAAATTCAAACTTACCAACATATTTCTACTCACCACCTATGACCTTAGCCATCGCATACAATAAGACTGTGCTGAAGATACAGCTACCTGCTTCTCTGAGCAATGGCTGCAGAGTAACTGTGCATGCTTTCAAGAGCTAATTAAACATCCACTTCAGGAACATGACATGTGGAAAGCATGCACATGGCCGAGCACATTCTTGCTGTAAAGGAGTGGCATAACTGCAATGGTTTCCAAAATAAAAACTCACAGTGCTTAAATCTAAACTCAGTTTCTCCCCAGATGCTAAACCAGCCCACTTCTCTCTTGAAAACAATTAATTTGCCTCTCCTCTGTGAGAAAAAAATGTCTTCAAGAGGTATCCAATTGCTGCTCACCTGTAAAGCCTAAAAAACTACTTCCTGACAACCTGGGGGGCTTCAAGCCAAACCTCTTCCTATTTTGCTTCTTCAGATGTATTATCCCAACCCTGGCTAAACCACTAGTAGGCATGTAGCAAATGCTCAGGGCTGTGCACAACTGGACTACAAAATGAACTACCAACCTGGATGAAAAGTATGAAGACTGGACTCCCACTCAGAGAGTATGGCCACTCTTATTCATATGACCTACATGGGAAAATGTCTTCTTTTTTTTTTTTTTTTTTTTTTTTTTTGTATTTGGGCAGTGGTCAAAGTCACAGACTAAGAAAACTGAGTCTAGCAATTCATAAGCCTCACTGAGTAGCCTGAAAACATCCTGAAGTGTGGTTTCCATTCAAGAACAAGGTAAGTTTAAAATTCAAAAATAGGAATAGATTCAACGAAACATAAATTCTGCCCATTAAGAAAATTTGTGCAATAAAAGTCATGCAATTCAAGAGTCTACAGCTTCTGGTTAAGGTAAATAAAACAGATAAAAAACTAACTTTTTAAATACTTACACAGGTAAAACCAGCACCAAGCCTTAACAATGGCGGCTACCTCCTACAAGGGAGTAAAAGCAACATACTACTCTGTCACTAATCCAAGGTAGGACTGTTACAGAGCCGGGGTGGGAGTTACTGTTCCTTTCTATCACATAAGCAGGCATTTCTTCATTCTAAGAGCTTTTGTTTTTGTTTTTAATTATGTAACAGCAGCTGAGAGCTCTGGACAAAGATCTAAGGCATTCTGTCAGTCAAGTTTAAGACTACAGCACTATCTCCACAGTCATGTTGCTTCACCCCTTCTCCTTTATATGCGGAAAACAAAGCCAAACAAAAACCCTGCTCACATCACTAAAAGGATCTACACAAAGCGAAAACTACACTACACTAGATTTCCCTGCCTTCTCCAAGCGTAGCAAAGGCTCACACTCAAGACCAAGTCAGCAGAGCAAGTGTATGATAAAGGATTCTCACTCCAGGTCAAGCCTGGGCATGATGCTGGGCAAGCAAAACATGAAAACTTTCTACACATCTACTCAATGTGTATTTATATAAAATGTCTTTTACTTTCCTAAGCCAGAAGCAAATTAAGTTGGTATCTTTAAAGAAAACCACAAAATACAATTATAAACTTTTAAACATCCTTCTTTAAAAATATTCAATACTTGCCTTTTTCCAAAAGTTAAAAAATAAAGCCAAATTCATATACATAGCATTCACATTCTTCATGTTTTCCTCTAGAAATGCTCTGCTATACAAATTAATTTCTAGGACATTCTCCATTCCATGCACAGGAGTATTATCAAATGTATGATTCAGAATATTTCAACAGAATCTGTTTGCTGTGAGCTGAGTATTAAACTACATCTCCTTCTTAAACACCTGAAACAACTTCTTGAACCTATAAACTGCAACCTGTCCCAAACAATGTTTCAGTCATACATCTAAAGCACACAAGTGAAGCCTTTCAGTTGGCTCATTCATTTCAAATTTCTTCACCTAGCAAATAGACTACACAGTATCACAAACACTGCCCCATGTTTAAAACAAACAAAAGCATACAGAGGATATGTACTCTATTTCAAGCAGGAGTACTAACTAGGCCCAAAAGGACTTAACATAAAACCACTTGCTTCAAGTATTTGGGAGGAAGCGGAGACAATACCACTGCTAATACAATCAAGGCTGAATGAATGAAGTGTTTTGAGCTCTTTCAAAACACAGTGTTTTATTGGGAGAGGTAGGAGAGAAAGTGGTGGTAAAGATGAAAATAAGGCCATATCAGAACCAGGACTTAATTTAAAAATAAAAATTAAAAAAAAAAACAAAAAAAAACTCAAGCTTTGATCTCAAGCCAGTTCATGCTGTCCACAGAAAGCCAAACCATTCCAAGCCAAAAGTCATGCATAATTTTCCTGAACTCAAGATCTATTTTTTAAAAAAGCCAAATCAAAATCAAAAACTCATACCTCTCCAGAAGGCTTCTCATTTATAGGCTAATGTATAACATTGATAAATTGAACAGAAATCAGAAATTTTGTTATTTAACAACAGCTGTATAAATTTAAGTCATAAATGTATGACTTAACATAAAAGCTGGAACTTATACCTTGTAGCCACATCTTTCAAAATATGCTTCCTCTTCTTTTTTCGTGAGTTCACTCCGCTTAAAGTACTTTTTATTTTCCTATCAAAGAAAAAACAGTAAGTTACTAATGTGCCCTCAGCAAAATTTCATGCCTCATAGTTACCAAGCACTCAAAACACATTTCAGGTTTTCAAAAATGTAGTAACAGTTTTAGTCCTGAAGATAATCACACCGAGCCCGTGTATGGCGGCCCCTCTGCCAAAGCGTACCTGCGTTCTGGTATGTGATAAACACTCAAGTATTTTATTTGATTGCAACAGGAGTTCTCATAGCAAAAAGAATATACCAACAGTATTTTCAAAATATTGTTTTTCATTCAGCTTCCTAACATCTAAGTTCAAAGATAACCTCTACAGACAGATTTACTGTGAACTACATGGAGATATCCTTTTGTTATTTTCTCCTAGGCAAATCATGGCAGAAATCATGGCACACAGAGCCAGTTTTGGAAATCTCGTCAACAGGAACATTCTGAAGGTGTGGGGTCTTGACACCGGAATCTCAGCAATCTTTAATTATGGGTTCTGTTGCTTATAGCTCCTTCTTTACATCAAACAAAAGTCTGATTCCAAATGTTAAGATGATCAGTATTTCATAAAAGGCTATAAACTTTTAGGAGACAGCCCCTTTATTATTTATTCAAGTTTCTCAAGCAAGTACAATGGCTGGCTTACACGCCAAATATCCATTGAACTTCTAAGAAGTTGCCCATGTGGTTATTCTGTTTTAATCTCCCAACAAGACACAGAAAATGGTAATAACTCCACAGACTGAAGTTAGGTTTATGACTGTAGTCCCAGCACTGAGGCAGCAGTTCAAGGCCAATAGAGTAAGACCACACTGCAAGAATTCAGAGAAAGGGAGGGAGGAAGAGGGTAAGCATGAAAACAAATGGGGCTCTATCAAAATCAAAAGACAGTGGTAATTTCAACATGGCTGAACCAAGCATGCTAATCAGGCAGGAGCTGAGGGAAACAGCCTACAGGATCACATCCTTAATTGGTAGCCTGGCACTGCTTCCTCAAGGTTCACCCTGGACACCATGGTGGACATTGCTTTCAGAAGTTGCCACCAATAGCTACAAGATTCATCAACAGTTTCAAACAGTTCTACCAGCTGCAGCCTGAGGTGATGCAGAGGTTCTAAGGGAAGTTCATGAACCAGTTGAGGGCATCCATCTGGGAGGAAATCTCAGGAATCAAAGAGGAGGGGGACCTAGAAGCTGTTGTGAACTGCCTGGACCAGGCTACAGATGGTAAAGAACACAGGGAAGCACCTTGGATACCCTGTGGAATCCCATGGTATCCTACTTCCTGCAGCTCTGAACACTCAGCAGTGCCTTGTGCAGAATAGGAGACCAAGTACTAGCAGCTGGCTGAAGCCATCCTGGCTGAGTCCAGGCAGGTCCAGGTCTGCCTGCTTTTGACAGGCTATTTAGGGAGAACAAGGGATTGCTATTAGCACTGGGGACACCAGAGTGAGGAGGTGGCTGAGATCCAGAGCAGAGGGCAGTCAAAAGCTGAGGCTTGCAGTCAACATGCCGGGCCTGGGAGAGTACTTCTGGGTACAGCTGAAAGAGTGCAGGCTCCCAGTAGGTAAACAGTAATGAGTCCTCACCACCGCCACTGTGCTGAGGGAGACATGGATACAGACATAGACACACAGTCACACACACACACACACACACACACACACACACACACACACACACCCTACCTCAGATTCCTGGTGTTATATTCCAGCTGGTGGATAGTGGCTCCAAACTTTCACTCCTGGTATTACAGTTAGCATCTACGCTCATTTCTCTGGTTCCTGACCACTGAGCCCCATGCAAACCCTATATAGTTGTTTCCAGTCTATACAGATTGTCTTGTTGACAAGCCCAAAGGCCCCTGCCAAGCTCTCCCCCATCGATAAATACAAATTTATGCACATGTACGTACACACACACACACACACACAGAGCTTTTATTCATTAAAAGGTACTACTGATAAAATAAATGGATACCCCAATCTGGAAGAAAATATCCAGAAAACATACACTTACCAAAGAAAGTGATGGGATATATAAAGGAGTCCAGAGAATTCATTTAAAAACAACAACTAACCTAATTTAAATTTGCACACCAATTTTAACACATCACAAAAGATGTGTAAGTATCTGAAAATCACCTAAAAAAAATACTTAAGAAAAATTATCAAGAAGATGCAAATTAGAACCATGTAGACACCTCTCCACTGAAAAGACTGACTACATAAACTGCTGGCAGGAGTCCAGACAAGCCAAGATGTGTAACACTGCTCAAGATGTGTAACACAGGAGCACTATGTTACAAAAGGACTTTGTGGCATTTCCTACCATCAGGCACACTGCATAGTTCCAAAGATATATGAAAACAAAGTTCCTGAGAAGGCTCAGAGTCTGCTCAACCACAAATGCTCATCACCAGGAGACCAGATAGCTGGGTCCACTCAGACAACAGAATACACTTTCAGAAAGAAACAGTAACGCATGCCGCAAGAGGAGTAGTGACCCAAAACATTCTGATCAAACGCAGCTCCATATAAAAATGAACATCCTATTTATGTGACATTCTGGAGCAGGCACAACTGAGGTGGGAAGAATCCAACAGTGGCTGCTTCGGTGGCAATCCAGGCAGGAACCGGTTGGAAAGTGGACAGTGCATTTGTTAAGAATCACTGAATAGGCAGCACCTTGGGGGTCCCCAAGGATCTTTGTCTTGCTCTAACAGTGTTTGGACGGAACAGACTAGGGGACTCCCTCTTTAGCTTCCAGCCGCCCTCCTATCACTCCGGTGGTAGCCTCCAGGTCCATCTCCTTGCCTCCCTCGGCATCTAGGATCAGCCAGCAGCGTCTCTTTGCTGTCAGCTCCATACTGAGGATCAGCCATGACCTCCCAGGTTCGTCAATATTATTCCACCAAAGTGGAAGCTGCCGTGAACCGCCTGATTCCTCGCGCCTGCGGATGTCCACCACCCCTGAGCTACTATTTTGATCGGGATGACGTGGCTCTGGAGGGCCACTTCTTTTGTGAATTGGCTGAGGAGAAGCGCGAGGGCACTGAGCATCTCCTCAAGTTGCAGAGTGCTGGCGAGGTTGGCGCGCTCCTCCACGATGCGTAGAAGCCATCTCAAGATGAGCGGGGGAAAACCCAGGAGGCCATGGAAGCTGCCTTGGCCCGGGAGAAGAACCTGACCAGGCCCTCCTGGATCTTCATTCCCTGGGTTCTCCTCGCACAGAACCTCTGTGACTTTTTGGAAAACCACTTCCTGAGGTAAAGCTTATCAAGAAGATGGGCAATCAACTGACCAGCATCCGTAGGCTGGACCTACATCTGAGTGAACCTCTCAAGCCTCTAGGCAGCTCTGTAACCGCCCTGAAACCCCTCCCAAGTCTTGGACCAAGTAAAATTAAAGCTTTTGAAACAGAAAAAAAAAAAAAATCACTGAATAGGTTCTTAAGATCCATGAAGTCGTTTTTTTGTGTGCGCACAAACATACATACAAAGAGGAACAAATAAACACTGGACTCTGTGACCTGTGCCAACTCACTTAAGAAGAAAGCTTATTAACTCTCGGCAACATGATCTGGAAAGCATAACGACCAGGAAGTTGTTTTATTACTACACCTGCCGCTGGTATTGGTTAGGAGAATGCTGAAGTGACCCAGACTAGGGTTCAAATCCAAACTCCACCTGCCCAGGATAGCCGCAGGTGTGTCAGCCCCACGCCCGCCCCAAATCCTCTCAGTACCATCACCCGCATCCCAACACGCTTGGGAAAAGCGCAGGAACACAATCCTCAAGCCCAAACTCCCCGGCCACAGGCCCCTCACCACCAGCAGGTTCCTGTCCTCCACTAGCTGCCGCTTCCGCAGAATCTCTGACTTCAGGATGTCCATCTCGCTGCCAGGGTCTCAGCGCCACTCTGCGGCTCCAGCTCCTTGGCGGTAAGCTCACCCCGCCAGGCCGGACTAACCCACCTCACACCCGGAGCCCAAACAACCAGACAACAACTGCCGGAGCAGCTTCCAGCGGAAGTCCGGATGAACGAGAGGAAGGAAGGGAGCGCCCCTCGGGGCTAAGGCTGGTGAAGCCGCTGGGTACTGCTGCCCTCTAGCGGCACCCTCCGGGACTCATGGGATTTTGGTAGGCAGGTAGAAAAGAACAAAAGCCAGGCGTCCACATCGGGGGGGGGGTTTTGTCTCCTTTTAAGTGGTTACTGTGCCCTTTTGCTCCTGCTTGTTTGCTCCCAAAGCCTTCTTGTAGGACATCTCAATTTCGTTAAGGCAATATCTTTACTAGAAGTTCACTTCATAGTTCTTCAAGTTCCTTGCTGACTAGAGAATGAGAAAAACATGAATAATACAAGTCTCAAAATGGCAGTATTCATTAATTGCCTGCTCAATGTCCTGTAAATTTATGCTGTCTTCTGGTTGTGCACTCAACACTGAAGGTTTTCAATGATGTTTGGAGATACAGTCATTCTTTCTTATAACCTAATACAAGAAAAAAAATATTTTGAAATTTTATTTTAATTTGTTTTTATGTTGATTTTGAGGCAGGAACTCACTATGTTGCCTGGGCTGGTCTCAAACTTCTGATACCAAAGTAATTCTCCTGCCCCGACCTCACAGTGTACCACCATACTTGGTAGAGATTTTTAAAAAAAAAAATCCTAGAACCATTTATAATATATTTATTTTTAGTTCTGTACCATGAAAATATTTTTTATCTTTAGTAGTTATAATTCAACAGTATCTTATGTTACTTTTTTTTTTCATTCTAAAAAGAAAGAAAGAACATTCATTTCCAACTTGACTGTAGGTAAGATGGTTTATCAAAATAAAACATGACAAGATTGCTCATTTTTAATTTAGAAAGGTTTTTTTTTTTCAGATTCCTCTATAGTTTATTGCCAGAGCAGAAGTTGTGCAAGACAGGAGGTCACTCATGCTCCTCCATAACACTCATCCATAACAGTATGGTCAGAGCCTGAGGTAGCCCTTTCCGCCCTCATGCCACGCTCCAAGCAGTCTGACCTAGGTTCTCTCCCCCAGTCCCATGCTGCGCGCTGACAGCTACCAAAGTTAGTGCGGCCAAAGGGCCCAGGCCCCTCCCTACTGCCCCAGCCCCAGTTCTACCATTGCTCTTACCCACTGCCCACCATCTCCCAGTCTTTCTTTGTACATGCTGGATATTTCTGTCACGTCTAAAGGACTACTGACCCACCAGCAAGCCTCCCCCCATAGACATTCGTTTAGGTCCGCAGCCTTCAGAGGCCTGAAGCATCAATGCAAATCCACTGTCAACTTTGGGGAATGGAGCACCCCAGCTCCCAACTCCCATCACACACACACACCAACTCTCTTGCCCTTGCAAATATGGGATAAAGAGGGGCAGTGGTGGAGGCCCCATGAGAACTGTAACACCGAAACGGGAGAGAGGATAATTTAGGGGGCCTGGATCGCTAAGAGATATTAGAACATCTCACCTAGGAGCTGGAGGAAATCGCAGGCTAAAGGTCAAGGTTAGGGTAACAATTAAAGACGGAGGTCACCTCCCTGCATGATCTGCCCATTTTCCTTGTGTACTCTGGCCCGATGCCCCGATACACCTCTCTCAAGTTAGTGCTGAGGGCTGGGATCTCACACCAGGGAACTGAGGGTTATTCAACAGGAGACTTCCATGGTGTGCCGGGGCGGGGGGTGGGGGGTCCAGTAGGGAGAGTCCCAGACTCGCTACTTACTCTGAGACAGGGTGTGGGAGCCGGGCCGACTGCCATCAACGGATGCTGCGCTGGTCGGAGATGCTGAGCGAGACCTCGATAGGCGAGTCATGCAGGATGAAGCCATGTAGGAATGGGCATGTACTTCCCATTCAAGTACTTGCAGGAAGTACTTGAAAGCCTCAGTCAGCTTGCCTGGCTGGGTCAGCTGCAGCTGACCTCCAGAGTCAGCCGTCTTGAGGAACGAGGTCTGTGTGGGGTCCAGTTTTGAGTTACGCTCCACCACGGCATCCTCATGAGGCGCTTGGTCTCCTACCAGCAGCATCACAGGTCACTTGAGGGTCATCTCGACCACCTCGCTCCAAGTTCAGGTCTCCGCGGTTGTTGTAGCTGTTCCAGTACAGTTCAATGTTCTCCAGGTCAGGAGCATGCGTGATTATATTCCTATACTTCTGTATCAATTCAGTTTCCAGAAAGCTCTTCATGGCTGAAAAGGTGTCCAAGGATCATCTCCGGATGGAAGAAGTAAGGCCTGTTAACTTGTGGGCTGCCCTGTCCATCCAGCCTTTGGCATTGGGGTCAATGTCGATGAGAACAAGACCTTCAGCTGTGACTGGGTGGCTCCGAGCATATCTTGACACAATGTAGGCTCCAGCTCCGATACCAACTCCAATTATTGAAGAGAAATTCAGGTACTGCAGGATGCAAGGAATCATGTCTGTGAGCTGGTCCAGAGACGTACTGGTACCCCAAAGGGAACACAGGAGCCCCCTTTTTCATTCCAGGGGCATCCACATGAACCCGCACAAAGTTCTGAATGATTTCTTGCATATCCCCGAACTGAAACAGTGCCTGGAAGCAAGATTTATGGTTAAGCCCTACATCACGATAGGTGAATATCGCTGGCCGTTTCGGTTTGGGGGTGCCATACACGGTAAAAGTGACAGAGCCATAAGGTGTCTCCACAGAGTGAGTCTTAGGCATTTGTCCTGGCAGCAGCGGCTTCTCCTCAGTGGTCTGCACCTCCTGAAGCTCTGCCTACTGTGACTTGTGGCCAGACCAGGTCCTACGATTTCAGCTCCACCCACTAAATCAGGAAGGTGTGTGTGTGTGTGTGTGTGTGTGTGTGTGTGTGTGTGTGTGTGTGTTAAGGTTATATTGCTCAGGGCCAGCAAGATGGAGGAACAGCTAAAGACAGTTGCTGCTAAGCCTGATGACGTGCGTTTAGGCCTTGGAACCCACATGGTGGAAGGAAAGAGCTGACTCCCAAAGTCCTCCTCCAGTCACACCCTCACCACAACATGCACACACATATACACCCACACACATGTACATTCGTGCAAATGCATAATAAATGAATACATGTGAGAGCTCTTTAAAGAGTAAATGCTGCCTAACTTCTGCCAGAAATAAGGCAACACAGGGGATGACTCAGACACTGCTTGGAGGTTTCTTATCGGATTTTAGGGCTCTGAAAACTCAAGGTACTTCACAAAGTCCATGTCCTTGGATGAAACATGCTAACATCCTTGCATGAATATTAGCTGCCAGGGTCAAACCACTTACCAGCATCCTTTTGATTCAGGAACTAGAGTTTATGACTCCCAAAGCTGAAGTGTCTGCTGATAATAACAGTGTGAGAGCCCACAGAGAACACAAAGGCCTCCCCGGGCAGTCAGTGTAGACTCAGAAGGTGCTAGCTCCTCTGCAGTCTCCACCTCTGAGTTTTATGTTTACGAAAATGTGCATTAAATCATGATGGGGGGCTCTTGGATCAAAGAATGAGAAAGGTGAATAATTGAAGGAGCAAACTGAGGAGCAATTGAAAATGCAATACAGAAAAGGATGGGAAAGATGACTGGTGGAACCCAGAGAACATTTTCTGCTACGTAGAAAATCTGCATACCATTGCATCACAGTGTTATTTTAAAGATTGAGACATTGGCCATAAATCAAAAGTCCTAAATTGAGGATTGGCTAATTCTAGGTCATAGACACAGCTGAATAATATGAAACTACATTTCAAAAAAAATTCTCAATGATAGCAATACTTATAATAGGCTTCCTGTTAAAAGTAGAAGAATGAGTGAGACCAACAAAGCCCCAGTGGATGGGGCTTATGACCAGACTCAAACCCTGGATCCTACAGGGTGACAGAAGAGAACCTACTTTAGAGACTCATGGTCTGACAGTGACATACACACACTCACACACCGTGACACACACTTGCCCCTTCACAAACATACAAATAAATATAACATGTAATCTCTATTGTATAACGAAAGCACAGGACAAAATGAAGTCCTTACGTGGGCAGTAGATCCACAGGTGAGTATTAGGGTCTTCTGTGTTTTGTTGTTGTTGTGTTTTTGGTTTGTTGTTGTTGTTGTTCTTTTCTTTTGTTTTGTTTTGAGTCAGGGTTTCCCTGTGTAGCCTTGGCTGGTCTGGACTCACTTTGTAGACCAGGTTGACCTCGAACTTACGGAGATCCGCCTGCCTCTGCCGCCCCAAGTGCTGGGGTTACAGCGTGCACCATCACACCCGGCTATTAGCATCTTCTTTAGACCAGAATTTGGTTCAAATTCCATAATTTGGAAAAATTTCGGGTATCAGTCATTTCCCATTTTATTTATCAGTGAAAGTTTTAATAGTTTCACCTACCTACCTACTTTTGAAATTAAACAATAAATTTTAAATGATCCCTATACAAGAAAGCAAGTAGTTAAGGGAAATATTTCAAACTACTTCTGATCATTCAACTGAATATTGTAGTGCCTGACATGACCCCTCCATTCCTTTAAGTGCTATAGCCCAAACCAAGTCTCAAAGCATAGTTCCTACCCCTGAGGAAGGGATCAGTGAGCTTGGGAAGCACAGACGAGACTGCGAAAGCTTAAATATTGTTAGATTATACGATTTGGTGGTGTATGTGGGCCACAGTATTCACAGAAGTTAAAAATAGCCATCTCCCGAAAGATGAGCTAATGTAAATCAATACATGGTTGATGAGATTATTCCTTTGAAGGAATAATGCATCCTAAAAAAAAAAAATCACCTGTCAGTTCTGGAGACTGGAGGGAAATACCAAATGTTATCAGGATAACTTGCATTTGTTTTGTTGTAATCCTAATGGACAAAACATAACCTTTAAAAAAAGAGAGAGAGAAATAGTCGTACACCATGGGTCTCAATCTTCACCATGCCTCAGAATAACCTGTTGGTAGTTTTTAACCACAAACTGCCAGAATCTCCAGGTGAGGCAGAGGCGCTGACCCAGGGAGCACACCGAGAGCTGGTGG